TAAACCTGGCCCTAAACCTTCCCCCTCAGCCAATTGGGGGGGCGGGGGGGTGCCATGATGTGGGTGCGAAAATGGAGGCTCCTGCCATGACTGGACTAGGATATTAGTGAACTGAGCCCGTGATTTAAATTAGGCCATAGTTGTTCCCATAATTTTTATCCTGGAGTGGCCATTTTTTCCCTGGGAAAAAAGCCTGGACATCTGTACACTCATGGTTTCTCCTGGGAGAACAGTAACTCCACACGAGAAACTGAATGTCTGTACAAGGCCCTTCTCACTTAGAAGTAAGCCCACTGATTTTCAGGAGGATAGAGTTTGGCAAATAAAAGCAAAGTAGCAAGCTCAATAAAGAAGGCCTTGAAAACTGGATAAATGTTCTCTATAATCCTTTTCAATTGCACTTTCATGTCTCTGGAAGGCATATTACCATTGTGTGACTACCAAGCGTAAACCCAATCTTTAACTTCTGCATGTCTCCCCATTTGTCATATAAAGATACCTTTATCAGTATTACAAATAATACATAAGGTTTACAGCCTCAACTAAGCAAAACCTTAACTAGGTTCTTAAAGTGCTCTGTGGAATCAGGGCCTAAAGCTATATTACTGTTTAGATACTCCCCAGTCATTCAAAAATCACAGAAGGACAAAGGCCCAATTTAAAAAAAATAGCAGATATTAGTTTAAATTAATGATGAGTTCCCATTTTTTGTATTTAGGCTACAAATAAATGTTGCATTTGCCCTGGGAGAAAACATTTTATCCCAGGACAAAGTGAAATTGTTCAGACATCCATGTTTGCTGTCCTGGGACAAGCTCTAAAAAGGTTTGTGGTATAAGAAGTGCTAGCATTTTGTCCCAGGACATCACAAAGTTCATCTGAATGGCTGTCCTGGGATTTCAGAAAACCAGCAGTGTCTTCACCTGTTCACTAAGCCCTGATTGGAAGGGTGATGTGTGTACATACCAATCTTGGGACATTTCTGTTTCAGAAGAGACAGGCACAACTTGTCCTGGGACAAATGCAACATTAGTTCCTACTCTTAATGTTTCTGTTGCACTTACAGTATCCATACCATTTAAATGCAGATTTATAAGAAAGCTATGACAAAACATGCAGCAATTTTAGCATAGCAATGTAATCATACCTGTCTAAAAAGCACTAAATAGAAAATCTAGCTCTAGCAATGAGTCTAGATCAGCGGTCCTCAACTCTTTTGCCGGGTGGATCCACGGGGCAGATCTAGCTGGTGTTCCCAAACTGGTGCTTGAGCAGGAACGGAGGGCACTAGGTGGCAGCATGGAGGGAGGCTGACTCCAATGCAGCCCCACAGGGAAAAAGAACTTCACCCAGCCTGGTGGAGTGAGAAGGAGGTGTGGCCAGGCCCCAACTCAGCCCTGTGGGGAGGGAAAGGGCATGGCCTAGCCCCAAACCAGAAGCTGGGGTGCTGGGTTGAGCATGGCCCAGCCCCACAGGGGCTTGGGAATTTGGCAGGGGGTACAGTGGTCATATTAATGGACACCACTTCCCTGCCACCAAATTTCCTGACCCATGGTGAGCACCACAGGCCAGATGTGATGGCTCCTCTATAGGTTCCACTTGGCTTGTGAGCCAGAGGCTGAGCACCTCTGGTCTAAATATTCCCCAGCAAACACTCAGGGGTTATTACAGGACAATGGGAGTACACGTGGTCCCAATGGCACGACTGCTAGCTGTAGTTACCACACTAGTTCTGGACTAATACAACCTACATGCTTTATACTTCAGCTTTTAATGCTGGCCCAAAGAAAGGGAGAAAAGCAGTGAGAAGGAAGGACATGGATTTTAGCTGGCAAACTCTTTGCCTTTGCACACATGCAGAGAGCAAGTTAGCTCAGCTAGAAGGACCCAGGGACATCCAGACATGTTGCCAGATGTGCTCAGCAGCTGTTCCCAAAGCTGTATAAGAAGTTTTTTAGCAGGTCGCATCCAATCAGAGAGCCCAGCCAATCGGAGTAGGGACATGAGAATGATTATAAATTAAGGAAGTCCTGTAAATCCAGAGGTTGGCTGTCTGTTGTAGGGTGTCTGCTTATATAACACTTGTATCATTTTGCATACCACTACACACTTCCTTTTTTTTTTTTGACAGCAGCTGAGAAAAGCTTGGCAACAAGTTTAACATCTGGAAAGTCCTCAGCTGTGAAAACCCCAAACTGCTTGTTTGCTGACAAAGTTCTGTAGTGTTTTGAGGAAGATAGGAGAGAGCAGCACTTTATAAACCAGCCAGTTCAGAGAGGCATGGGCTTTCATAAGCAACAACCTACTTAGTCAGATCCTATTTCAGGTGCCAGATGTCAGATGCCTTACATAGCATGCGACAAAGACTGTTGCCTATGAAAGCTCACAAGATAGTAAACCTCTAAGGAGCATCTTCTGCCCAGCTTCAGACTAACACAATTAACCAACTCCCTGAAGTGTTCAGAGAAAACGGATATGCAGCCACTCTTATGAAACTTTAAAGGTGATGCACTCCTTACAGCCATAATACAAATACATGAATGGGTTAACTAGTGGAAGTTTCTCTGCCCTGACTGAAAAAGGGGAGGGTGGGGGAGCTGCCTCCAAATGAACTAACCTTTACGTTGATGCAGGTCTGCTCCAGACAGAGGTTTTTAATCTTTGGACAAGCCAAGGGCAATTTCCTCTCAATTTTTCAGGTGGCAACCAAACATAATCTACTTGTTTGTGTCAAGCGGCCACAACGCATCTTGCTTGAAGTCTGAGGTGCACCAACAATTCTCTGCCTTTATTGTTTTTCTTTAAAAGTCAATAATAATGTTCCAAATAGAGCTTACAATGTTTTGAGTGAATTCAGTATTTATTACAAAACTGCCTGGTACCCTCCCTAGGACTTGGGTGACAAGTACTGACACCTGTTTATCAAGGTTTTATATACAAGCTGCTCCTGAGGTTTAAGATTCTGGCATCCTTTACGAAAAGAAAGGGCTGCATCTGGCCTTTGCTTCAGCAGAAAGTTAAGCAGTGCACAGGAAGAACTGGTATGCAATAGCTCATACATAACATCGCCCCAGCATTCCTTTACTCTGGTATGAGCAGAGTCCAAAGCCTGCAAACGGAGAACAAAGAACTGACTGGACTTAGGAGAACAAACTGCCTCAAGCAGAGAGAGAGAAAATGGAAACAGACTCCTGCCCTGAGCTCTGGGGCAATTAGAAAAGCATGACCAGCTTATGTGCCCTTTCACAGAACATCAGGGAAGGCAGACAGGGAAGCAGACCTTTCCCTGTCTTAAAATTCCTTTTTTTATGTTATATTTTGTCCATAATGAAAAGCTGGCTTTCAGACAGGTCTTTAGTCACTGCCTTTGCCATTTGGCAAGAACTCCTGAAGGAAAGCCAGGCCAGCTGAGAGGCAGGATGCTGTAGCTTAGGATCGGGTTTAAAGGCCACAGCAGGGCCTGATTCCAGCCCAGGACAGTAAAGGCGTGAGGCCTGCTACCCAAGTGTGAGGCATTCAGAGAAACCAGAGAGGTGCAGTCAGATATGGCACTGCAGCTATGAGAATTAGCCACTGAAGGGTCATATCTACACTTCCATTAATGTGCTTTAGGTACAATGTATTAAGTTTAGTACCAATGGGCATTTTTACACATGTAAGCATCTGGCACTGTGATGATTACAGTTGTACAAGTGGCAAAATGTGCATCAGTGCTGAGAAAATGGTGGTGGTGCACTTTTGAATGAAAACAGGGGTTGTCACTGAGGGTACGTGTACCCCTGGGGGAACTCTGAAAGGTCCCAGTGGGTACACGGGGGCAGGCAGGGATGGAGCGCCACCACTCCGTGCTGTTGCCTCACAGGAGCAGGGCCGGGGTGGGGTGAGAGCAGGGTCATACAGATGCTGTGCTGCTGCCGCTTGCCACACGCCGCTCCGCGTCTGGCCACTAGCCACCCCATCCTCTGTGCCCCACATCTGGCCACTTGCCATCCCCGCTCCGCATCTGGCTACTGGCCACCCCCACCCCCAGGGTACACTTATTAAAGGGTGCCACCAGGGGTACACTGATTTAAAAAAATTGAAAACCTCTGAACTAAAACATATAGAAGGAGCTTTAGTTCAAAAGCACACCACCAGCATTTTCTGAGTGCTGACACACATTTTGCCACTTATACAACTACACGTGGCGCAGTGCGGTTCACTTCAGCTTACAGCGGATCTCCAGCCCATCATGAGACAAAAAAGTAAGTGTATAAATGCCCTCTAATATGAGGTGCTACAGAAAGGCACGTTAGACTGCCTGAATACACACTAGCAAAAGCAAATGCCTTTTTAGAGACACTTAATGCGCAGTAGAGTAATTCTACTGCACGTCAGCATATGAGCACTGTTTTTACGGTGACACGTTAATGCACAGTAGAATAGGTTACGTATAGACGCGCCTGAGAAGGAGAGGCTGCCAATGGCCCAATTCCCCAGCTGTGCCCTCACAGTCGTAGAGAAGCAGGGCTGGAAGGGACCTCCCGAGGTCACATCTAGTCCAACCCCTGCCTGAGGCAGGCGCGTCCCTCTCCAAACCACCCTGTACAATCATAATCTCAGCTCCCCCTGCCACGGGTAAAGCAGGGGAACCACTGCCATTTGCCTATTAAATGCTGTCGATATACGCTCTGTTGTGCGAGGCTCCCGCCAGGGCCGCAGCCTGACCCCCAGCCTCAGCCCAGGGGGGCAGGCTGCTGAGAAGCAGGGAGAGGGGACAGGGACCAAAGCTGGTGCAGAAGGGGGTGGGGGGGGCAGTGCCAGTCCTTGCCTGCCCAGAGGCTGCAAGTAGGTGACCCTGCAGAGGGGCAGTGCTGGGGGAGGACACCTGCCTGGGTGTGGGGGTGCACGGGGGGGGACAGACTGAGCAGGGAGGGGGGTCCCCGGGGTGCTGCCCGCAGGGAAGGGGGCAACCCGGGACCTCCCCTCTTTGCAAAGTTTCCGGAGCGGTCCCCTTTTACCTGAGCGGACGCCCCATGGCGGGGGAGGCGGCGGAGGAAGGGGGGCGCTGCCGGCTCGC